CCCCTGACTGACAGTGACCTCGGCCTGAGGGCTGGGCTTCCCTCTGCACCTACACCAGCGGTTCTCAACCTTCCTAACACCACGACCCTGTAATCCAGTTCCTCATGTTGGTGACCCCCAATTTCACTGTTACAAATTGAACATAATTAAAGCATAGTGACTAATCACAAAAACAATATGTGATTATACATGTGTTTTCCAATGGTCTTAGGTGACCCCTGTGAAAGGGTCGTTTGACCCCCAAAGGGGTCGTGACCCACAGGTTGAGAACCGCTGATCTACATGCTTGGGGACAGGCCTGAGGACTGGGGGCGCCTCCGAAGGGCGAAGGGCGTGGGTGGCAGGTCTCCCCCTCTCCTGGCCCGCCCCTCACCCAACCCAGCAGCTCACCCCTCCCTCCTCCTTGGAGACTGGCCCTGGGCGGGACCAGTGGAGGGAGGCAGCAAAGCCAGGGGGGACCGCGGGCTGAGGGTGGCTGAGGAGCTCAGACAGGGGTGCAACAAATTTGGGGTGCCAGGGCCTCGGAGGCGGAGATGAGCTGAATGAGGCTGTTGTGTGTTCAGGTCTGCACCCGAGAGCTGGGGGGGTGAGTGAGGGTTTGCAAGCTCACTTCCTGCCCCCGCTTCCCTTGCTGTCGGGCCATGGCCGCCCGGAGCGCGGGGAAGGCCGGTCTGGCACCGCGGCCCTGTGGCCACCAGCGGGCCCTGCCCTCCGCAGCCCCGTGTGCCTGTTTGAAGCCGATGGGCCTACAGGCAGCTCCGCTTAATCACCGCTGACAAGTCTCTCGCCACAGCAGCGGCGGCCCGTTAGGGGCTGGTGCCTGGTTTGCTAGAACTCGCTGGCTCCCTCCCCCTGCTCCTCCGCGCCCAGCCCCCCATGAGGCCAGGAGGACCGCAGGCCTGCTGGTGCCCCCAGAACCTGCTGCAGGCGCCCTGCAGCGGGGCAACCGGCCTCTGAGTCTGCTTCCCTCCCCCACCCTGTCCTCCCTTCCAGCCCTTTCCCAGTTCCCCGCCTGCCCTGCCCCGCCCGCCCAGTGACCGCTGCTGGGACACAGCGCACTTTCCCATCCCCTCCCGCCCAGCTTCCGGTGGCCTTTGCAACTGAGCCAAAGGTAGAGGATAGGTCACGGGGAGGTGGGGGGGATGGGGGGGATCATGGCTGGCTGCTGAGCTCACCAGCCACCCCTTCCCCCCTCCCCTCCCTCACAAGCAGGCCCAAGAATGCTCAGATGTGAACACACAGTAGGTGGTCAATGGCTCATCCCTCCCCACGTCACTTCCCTCCTCCTTTGCTCTGCTTCCTGCCCTTCCTCACTAAGGGCCACCACCTGAGCTAGGGGGTCCTCATGACTCGTGGGGTGCCCGGGGCCAGGAGTGGCCTCATCTCCCGATGCACTGGCCCCCTCGGCCTCTGAGGTGCTGGGCTCATGGGGGGGTGCTCTCCCCGGCCCACACTCACCCGATCTGGATGAGGCCTGCTTACCTGTCAGCTCTCAGCTCCCTCGGGGCCCCCCAACCAGACCAGGATGCCTGGGTCACGGCATGTGGGTGTCAGGCTGGCTTCCTGGGGGTGGGACGGTCTGTTCAGCCCACAGAGCGTGAGGTCCCTGACCCAGTGCCACCCCGCCGCTCAGTCAGTGTGGAATGAATGAATGAATGAATGAGTGAATGAGTGAATGAGTGAATGCCTCCTTCACCTCCTTGATCCCTGCCAGCCCCCCTTCGAGGTGGGTGTGTTTTCCCCCGTTTACAGATGGGAA